TTCTTGTGCACCTCTCGGTTTGTCGGTCATTAGAAGCTGAAAAGTCCTTGACTTAGTGTAAGCGCTACTTAGCAACAACTAAAACATCAGTGTGTTATCAACATTATTCTCATACTAAATCCAAAACACGGCACTATACCAGCAACTAGGAAAAAAATTAACTCTGTCCCAGCTGAAACCAGGACACTTGTGCAGTAGAGTAAGGATGTTAACTATCTGGTGGCTTCTTGAGAATTGGCTTTCTGGGGCGAAGGACCAGACCGTACATCATGGTCGCTGCCCTGCTGTGCGTGGAAGCAGAGTTGTCCTAGGATAGAATGGGCTTAGGGTGAGCACTGTGGGACTGAGGGCGATGCTCATGCCTCTTCCTTGGGCAGTTTCCTGGGGCATTAGTCCAGCCTCTTTGCTTGGTACTAGCGTTGTGGACAGGTTTTGGATTTTGAAGGGCCACACCCTGATTTCTCTGTCTCCAGAGCTGAGCAGGGAGGTCTTGTGGGTTATTCAGAAGTGACCTACCTACCCACCCCAGGACTGTCCGTGAGAGGTTCTCTGTGCACTTGGAAAAGCTTCTGCAAAGTTGACCACAGGGAGGCTAGGAACCAGGCAGCCTTGCCCACTGGTGTCCAAAAAGGCTGGGGTGGGGGCCCTAGGACTCATCTCACCTCCAGCACTGTCCATATCAGCTTTGAACTGTTGAGCTGGCAGAGGGAGCTCCCAGCTTTGGGATCCTCCTACCTCTGCGATCCCAGACAGGGCAGCATCACACCAGATCTCCCACTGTGGCTCCATGCATTGAGCAAAGCCTCCTTTAACCCTCACAATCTGATGCCTGTTTTGTCTTCAGGACCCATCGTTCCATATCAGCTTGGCCTGGTGTGTCGGGGACCTGTCTGGCAGGCTGGAAGGGCAGTGTCTGCAGGAGCTCCAGGTGCGTCCCCAAGCAGTGTGGAGAGCAGGGGAAGAGCAGAGCTGGCATCCAGCCAGCTGGTGTCCTGCCGAGGGTGGAGAGTAGGAAATTCTCTTCACTGAGCAAGACAACTTTACTGGGTTGAAAGAAGAGAAGCTTTTGGGGGGAGCATGAGCTAAATCACCCTCCAGAAGGAAGTCAGAGACTTCCAGCCACAAATGGCCTCGTCTCTGACTTGGTTTGGAGAGGAAGCTGCTGACTCCTTCCTCTGGCAGATCCACCCTCCTGGTCCTGACTCCTGCATCTGTTTTCCAGGACATCGTGGATGGATTTGAGGACTCGGCGCTCCTGCTGCGTATCCAATGGGAGCAAATCCACTGCAAGTCAGGGAACAAGTACTTCTCCTTCCCCTTGAGGTAGGGGCCGGTGGGGCTGTGCATTTCAGAGCCTCGAAGACCCTGATGTTCAACCAAGGACTGTTCTCCAGTGCAGCTGAGTGATGTGGGCTGTCACGCACCTCCCATGCTCTTCTTGCCTTCTCAGCATCTCTGAGGTGTTTGTGGCCTCAAGTTGGGCTACTTCTGAGTCTGAGTTGCTGGATGAAGAAATGTTTGTAGCAGATTTCATCCTCACCACTGTATGTGCTGCAGTCAGCACTGGCGGTTCCAGCCATCCCACGGTTGCTGATTTTGCTGATTTTTTAAAAAAAAGAAAAAAAAAATCTCTATAAAAGCCATATATGCCTTATGGGAAGGAGGAAGAAGGTAGCGTGGGAAGCTGTTGCTAAAGGGAGAGTGTCTCGCATGGTTGGAAATCGCACTGCCTGATTGTCGGGAGGCTCTGAGCATGCTTTGAGTAGCAAGAAGCAAGGACACGGAGCTGGACTGTCTCACCAGAGCATCTCCCTATTGTAAGCCAGCTCAGACAAGTTCCTGGGTCATGTTCTGTGTCCCTCTCACACTGCTGCTGCCTCTAGAGAAATTTCAGTATCTGATCCTTTTGCCCAACAGCAAAAGATAAAATCTGGAGGGGAGAAGTTGGAAATCCCTTGTGTTTCAGTGCTCCAGGCTGGGTCTAAAAGAAGAGCTTTGGTTTAAGATTGTGCGTGCCATAAGCCCAGGACTTTCTTGGTGTGCTGCTTCTCCCAAGCTTGCTGCCGTGTGTGGACGAGCCCAAGAGAGGGCAGTGTCAGCTTTTGCCTGAGCTGGAAGGGCAATGTCCACGGGCGAGTCAAGGGGTGGCAGCTCCTGCCCAGGCTCCGTGCTTTGTCCCCATGGGAACAGCACCCCTGGTGCCATGATGACCCTGGGGACGGTGGGCTGGACTTCGTCCCTTGGGAGAAGCTCCTTTTTAATCCTTTTGTTTGTGCAGGGAGGCGGGCTGCAGCCTCTCAAGTATTTGGAGCAGGATACCAATGTGCTGTCCTGAATCTTTCATTCCACATCTGTCTGATGAAAGACTCCGGGACTTCTGAGCAGTAAAAATCTGTCTCCTCATGTCATAAAATTGCTTCCGTGGTATATTTCAGCTGTTCCCTTCCAGACACGCCCAGCTCCTGCAGACTTCAGATGAGACGATGCCTGCAAGTGCTTCTGTGAGCTTGGTGCTGTGCTGCCTGTCCTGGCACACGAGAGAGCCTGAGGCCTTCGTGGCCGTGGGAGCATCTCAGCACAGGTCGTGATGCCTACCAACACCCGTGCGACAGCTGGTTTTCAAAATCCTTAACAAAATTCTATTAAGTCTGTAGCCAGTTAGTTTCTGGGATGGGGATCTGCGTAATAAGGCATGTGATTACACCCTGAGTTTTCTTTTGGGGAAGGGAAAACAAAGATGGATATACTTAGCCCCTGGGGACTTCCGGTGAAACTGGTTCCAGCACGACCAGTTTCTCCATGGTCCGAGTCCAGCAGCGCCAGGTTAATGCTCGACTAGCGGCCCCCGCCCCAGCGGGGCCCGGCTTGGCACATCGCCCCGTTTTGTAACTGCGGCAGGTGTCAGGGACCGCGCTCCTGGCTTCAGGGACGGGGCAGGGAGCCGGGCTCGGCAGCAGGGCCACGGGGGCAAAGTCCGGGGATGGGGGGCGGCTGCCGG